AAGACTGAGGGTAGATAGCCGTTGTCTTAGACTTGTCTTATCCCATGCGGAAAACAGCCCTTTCCACCAAAAATATTCCTATGATTAGTCAAATGACAAAATGAGATATCAAGGAGATAACTAATGATGCAAATGATGGAAAAGATGCGTCAGGATCGAAAAAAACCAAACCTGTAGTGGCATCCATCACATCTGATATCGCAGGATCGCGGTGGATCTTGGCGAAAAGCCCGGAAGTCAGAACAGCCAGCATTTCCTATAAAAAGTTTCAATTGGGCATCGGCAGAAAGTATAGACAATAAAAAAAAGATGTACCGCAACAGCGAAATGTCGTTTGAAGATGATCGAGAGATTCTTGAACAATTCCGGCACCTTGATAATAATGCTGTACCATATAATTCAAAGCATCGGATAATTCCACATCAATCTAATGTAAATGATAACGTGAAAAGTAGAAGAAAATTTGAGCAGCTACACTAATGCTTACCCCTTCCCTCTTGTAGAAGAGATATATCCCACAACTAAGTGTAGCAATCAAAAGAAGAAATACAGCCATGGAATAAATGATGAGCACCAAACGATTTTCTGCATTGACACCACAGCAACCTAGGTATGGCTAGCTTTGGTAGATTGGAGGATGAAAATGCCGAAGCAAAAGCAGTCAACAAAACATAATAGAAGTCAATAATGAAAGGTTATTCTTTTCTGTCAAAATGATATCCTATTGTGAGAACATTTATAAATTTTGATGCAAGCTAATCTTGAGATTACAAGTTCCCCAGATAAAAAATCGGTAAATTTCTAAAACTTCTACAATCTTTATGCACACTGGTTATTTTGTAAGCAAATGAAAATTCCAAGTTCCCAGCAAGTAAAGTCAAAACCAGACTGCAAGAAGGATGAAGGATAGCTTTTTCTTCTTTATGTATCGCAACGCAAATCAAGAATGCACTTCAGAAAAAAAAAGTGCGGAAAAATGTTTGAATGGAAGCCTTACTCTTCATACTTTTTTGATGAAGAAACTCTTGAAGATAAACTTGTACAATAACCACGATAAAGATAAGAATATTGAATGAGGAGAGAGGATAGCTATTGAAGTCCTAAACCACATGTAATGACTCAAATCCTGAACAAGATGAGCACTAGCAGAAGGATAAGACAGAAAATATCGATTAGGCTGTTCCACTGGTTACGCACTGCACTAATTGTGATGCAATAAAATGATGTAGAAGAGCTAGACGCGGTTGACGACTGAGCTGTTGGATCCATATATTACATTATAGCATCAATTTTGCTTGAAAAAGGTTATGCCTATACCTTTCATGAGCGCATTAAAGACTACTGCAATACTAGTTCTGCACTAACTAGTTAGCCAATATGGCAATAAACATTAGCATGAACGTCTTATGCGAAGAATGATAGAGTAAACTGATATTGAGTAAACTGATATTAATACACAGGGGTAAAGTTTGACATGAGAAGAGAAAAAAAAAACAAGAAGCAAATAATAGGTTAGGTAAGACCTTCACTCACCAAAAAAGGCAACTACGATCATGCAGCATCCTAGGACGATAATGATATATGAAAAGGCATACAAAGTTGGAGCTTCCCAAAACGCTTCCTCCACTGCTTGTCGGTACCTACAGCTTTCAGATTTATTTGGAGAAGCAACGACAAGCAAGAAAATAATACCGTTCGCTAAGAAAATCCCTGAATCTGCTGTCAGTACGCAACCATACGCCCATCGCCAATAAAAGTCCTCCAACTACCTGTGAAAGGATTTGATAGAATAATGTGTTATAGAGTAGATAAGTTTGTATAGCCTTTTCCACATTCGTTTATAAGGATAAGACGGTTTAAATAATGGTTGCGTGCGTGCTCCCCAACAGATCACCAAATTTGCCAAGTAAACGGAATAATGATTATGCCAATACTAATGTAAGCCTGCTATCCGCTATTAACTATAGTTGGGACCGAACATTTGTGTTCAAGTAAAATAGTCTCGAAAGCTCGAATGTTCGATGTTCTAATATTCAAAAAAAAACGCGTTTTTGACTATTGGCATAGTCTATTCCAAAACAAGGACGTTCTAATATTCAAGTTCAAATAGTTTCGGAAGTGACATTCGAACAATATTCGATCACTCGAATGTCTGCGAAATCATCGAAATTTGCTCGTTCGAATAACCGCGAGATTGTTTGATTGAGTTTTCTGTTTGAA